TCTTTGTTCTGCTTTTAGAATTCTGTTTTCGTTACTAGCAATAGCATTTTGGATTTCGTTCATTTTAAAATCAAGAGCATGGATGTCTGATTTTAATTCAGAGTGGCTATTCAAGAGTTTTTCTTGCATCGCAAGCATTGTTTCTTGAATTGACTGGAGGGATGCTTGCACCATTTGCAATGTAGGAGTTGCAGGGGGTTTGTCTAGTTTCTGAAGACCTTCCACTGATTTTTGGGTAGCTGGGGAAGACATCGCTAGGGTAGGTATAGATGTCGCTTTTTTACCGGTTTTCGCAATTGTGGAGGTCAGACTTGCCATATCTTTCAGGACCGATTTTTGGTCTTTTAATATCTCCTCTATCTTTCTCCAGATTCTCATCCAGTGGCACTAGCCACTTTTTCTCTGAGGAGCTTTCTTATATCTTTATTTCACTCCTTTGTTAGTCCTCCCTACACTCTCAATAATTTCCACTTAATAGTAAGTTCTAGATTTCTAAATTACTGTGGTAGACTGCTATACACTTTCCAGCGATTAACAGTCACTAATTATATAATTATATAATTATGTAATTAAAATTATATAGTTCTCCTCTAAATAGATTAAATAAAATATCAATCCTAATCAATTAATCACTTATAAGAATCTAAATTCACTCTTAATATTAAATAAGTAATATAAATAGATTGTACAAATAATTATTTTAAGTTAATAAATTCTAAGTTCTAAGTTCTAATCCTAGTAAAGAGTATTGGTATAGGTAAGTACAAATAGACATTCTGGGTTATATAAGTTGACCATAATAAGATAATAAGTTAATGAAGTCTGAGTTCAAATCTTAATAAAAATTGAATATAGATAAATATGATAAATATAAATAGGAATAAATAGATTACTATAAATATAAATAAATATGAAATACTATATATTACTGTACTATGAATATAAACACTATATAGTAATTAATTAGTAGGATACAATTCCCGATTCTTGTATATGATCAGACCCTATTTTTTTTTCCTTTTTTATCTAGTAATACTTATAGAGATCTGAATTCTCATATATAATCAACCCCCCCCTTTTTTTCTTTTTTTTTTATATATTAAATATATATATATATATATATATATGTAATTTTTTCCTTTTGTATATATCTATAAGATAGCTTAACAAATCTGATTATTAATATTTATCAATTTGAAAAGAAAAACAGAGTTCAATTATTACTATCCAGATATTCAAGAGAAGGATAAAGAAAATATTGACATATATGAAAATGTGGGTATAAGTATGTTATTTTACGGAGTTATGGGGTTTAAATAGGAGGTCTTCAGTTTCTTCAATTTCCCGCTTTGCTGGGATCCAGCCAAACTCTATGATATTAGTCTCTGCCAGAACGTCTTCTTGTTCAACCACTGCTCATCCACTCTTCCGGATTAATGGACGTACTTCCTGTTTGATAGGAGCCTCAAACAGCCAGTCACTGTATTGCTCCTGCTCTCTTCCACTCGATCCCGATATAAAACGCCAGTCCCAGCAATGGTCTTTCTTTTCTCCTTTACTCCCTCGCCACACCGCACCTTCCAAAAACTCTTTACAGGTACGATCCACTCCCTCCGTTTTCTCGTCTGCTCTTCGGCTTATCAGATCGGATCGCCGGGAGTACGGGCTGCTCTATCCTCTCTGTCACTGCCTCTCGCCGCTCCGAGCGCTCCTCTCCCAGCTCCTCCTTACCGCACGATCTCAGGTATAGGGAAATAGGCTTGAGTCTGTCACCGCACCTCCGATCTTCTTCTAAGCTTACCGTCTTTGTTGGTTATTGCTGCTTCGTGCCCGCCATGAATGGCCGCTCACCGCGTTGGCTAGGCAGAGCCGCCTGGTCCGGCGAGAGGTGATCGCACCCACCTCCCGCTCGTCCGGCTTCCTCTTTTGCCCGCAGGGCTCTCCGGGTCCCGCGTCCCCCAAGGGGATCCCCAAAACGCGATGCTAAAGGGTGTTGAGGAGCAGCGAGCACTCACTCACACCCTGTCACAGCAAATCGCCAACCGGAAGTCCCTATCTATCTATCTATCTATTTATCTATCTATCTATCTATCATCTATCTATCTATCATCTATCTATCTCTATCTATCTACTTATATATATGATAGCTAGATTAGCTAGCTAATCTAGCTATCTAATCTAGCTATCATATATATCTATATGAAGTTCCATCTCTTTTGGTGTTTGTAGCTACTTATAGGTAAGTATAGGTGTCCCCAACCTTTTGGACCTCAGGGACCACTAAGTTCATAATTTTAAATCCCATGGACCACTAATATGAATCCAGCGTGCCACTTACTGAAGCGCCTGGACTCCTAGTGACAGGATGGGGTCCTTCAGGCACTCTCCCTCCTCTTTCTTTCTTTCTTTCTTTCTCTCTCTCTCTCTCCCCCCTCTCTTCCACTCTTTCTCTCTCATTCTCTCTTGCTTTCTCTCTCTCCCTCCTTCCCTCTCTCTCTGCCTCAATGTCTCTCATTCTGATTCTCTCTCTCTCTCTTTGATTCTCTCTTCCATTTTGTCTCTCTGATTCTCTCTCTGATTCTCTCTGATTCTCTATCTTTCATTCTCTGTCTCTTTCTCTGTCTCTCATTCTCTCTCTCACTCTCTTTCTGATTCTCTCTGTCTCTTTCTCTCTCATTCTCCCTTTCATTTTCTCTCTTTCAATCTGTTTCTTTCTCCCTTCTCTCTCTCTCTCTCTCTCTCTCTCTCTCTCATCTTATGGGCCAGCCAGTGTCTTGGGGCTGAGAGGAAGTCAAGCATCTCTCTGACAGACCGAGGTGTGCAGAGCACCAACATGGGCCGGAAGAAATGCGGGAGTGAAGCACTACTTGAACTTGCATGGCATCAGCATTCATCTTGATATATTTGCACCAGCTGGTGGCGCAAAGCAGCCCTCATCTCCTGCTGCTTGGGACTCGGAGCGGTAAATGGTGACTGGTTCAGGAAACAGTCGATTTTGCTCTCCATTGCGAATGCCAGATTGGTCCTCTGCAAGATCTTGTCTCTCAAGGAGCGCTCCCTGAAGCAGCGCAGAAACTTTGGTTGGGCTCCTTGAGAGACAAGAGACGAGAGTTTGCAGGGGGCCAATGTCCACAATGGAGAGCAATATTCAGCTGCTCCCCAGACCAAATACTGTTTACCGCTCCAAATCCCAAGCGGCAGGAAACAAGGGCTGCCTTGTGCCACAAATATACCAAGGCGGAATCCTGATGCCGCACTACAGCAGAGAGAAGAAGCTGGATTTTGCTCTCCATTGTGGACACCAGATCAGCCCCTGCAAACTCTCGTCTCTCAAGGAGCCCAACCAAAGTTTCCCGCGCCACTTCAGGGAGTGCTCCTCAAGAGATGAGAGCTTGCAGGGGCTGATCTGGCATCCATAATGGAGAACAAAATCCGGCTGCTCGCCAGACCAGATGCTGTTTACCGCTCCAAGTCCCAAGCGGCAGGAGACGAGGGCCGCCTTGCGCCACCAGCTGGCACAAATATTCCAAGGTAGAATCCTGCTGCTGCACAAATGAAAGTAGTGCATCACTCCCGCAGCTTCCAGCCATCGCAACCGCTGCTTCTGCCTGCTTGTGCTGCCCCCTCCCTGCCACTACAACAGCGCCATTATTTCATTCCGAATGGCGAGGGCTGCACTTCCTTTTTGTGTATTGCACCACCTGCAAAGTTGCACATTGCACATACCACCCCAGGGCAGAGATTTCCAGCCCTGCCACGGACAGTCCCATATTCCAGAGCTGTAGTAGTCACAGTCACAGGACTGGCCGGTTGGTCATCCCGGAGCAGCTCCTCCACCCGGGTGCACCGGCCTGCTGGGGAGCAGGCAACTCCCCAGCAGGCCGATGCATCCCAGTGGAGGAGCTGCTTCGGGATGACCAACCGGCCAGTCCTGTGACTACTACAGTCCCACCCAGAGGCCTTGCAGAAGGAGAGATGTAGGCCCGAAAGGTGGCTGAACCTCCCCCCACTGAAGCAGCCATTCGGCTGAGCGCAGCAAGCTCTTGGTCTTACCTTCCAGTTCCAATTTGTGTGGCTTACACTGCTCTACTCAAGATGAGGTTTGCGCTTGGCTTTAAGAGTGATGTGGGCGGTACAGCCATGTGTTCCCGCACTCGGGCCAGATTAATTGCTCTCGGGCCATATCCCGCCCAGGGGCCATAGCTTGATGATGAGTGCAATAAAAAAAAATGCAAAAATACAAAAAATTTCTCTGTGGATCACCGGTTGGTGACCACTGTTCCAAATGATTAGTAGAAATACAGGTGGTCCTTGACTTACAATCAAAATTGGGATCAGAAGTTTGGTTTTAAGTTGTGGTTGTAAGTCAAGGCACCACATGACCAGCTTTGATTCTACAGCCATTTTTATGATGGTTGTGAAGTGAGTCACTGAAGTCATTAAACAAACTATATTATCATAGGTGTGAATCTATTTTATCGAATGGTTCTTTTTCTGTAGACCTTTTTTAAAAATTGCTTATATCTTAAATTCAAGCCAGAAACAAGTTAAGCACAAAATCCTTAATGCACACACACACACACACACACACACACACACACACACACACAATTAGAACCTTATCCTGCCCCCAACTTCTACTAATTGGCTCTGTTGGAATGGAGTAACATTTTGAGATGGATTTGTGAAGACTAACAAAATAATACCTTTTCTGGAGGAAAAACAATGAGTAAAAATATTAAGTTATCAAAGATTTTAATACCTGCTTGGTCAAATGCAACAGAAAAGGGGCTTATGTACGTTTCATCATTGTTTAGAATTTGTTTAAAGAAGAGAAGGTATAACATTTGATGAATAATTGTTTAAATTTGTCTAAATTTCAGCAGCAATAAATATATTGACAAGCTGTTCAGTTCCTGAAATTCATTCTTTTACATAGATGTTCTGCTTTCTCCTTTGATGGAACCTAAAGAAATAGATTTCTTTTCTCTTTTTGTCAGTCCCACTTCCTGAACCTGAGCTTTTGCAGGAAGTGCTTCTTCCCCTTATTGACAGGGCTACCTGTGAGGTTCTTTACAGTGACTTTAAAGAGCCTGGGATGGCGAATGCAATAAAAGATGACATGATGTGTGCAGGCTACATGGAAGGAGGGAAGGATGCTTGCCAGGTAATAATCATTTGTGTGCATGTGCCTTTGAGTCATTGTTGACGTCTGTTGATTGTCTGGCAAAGTTCCTTTTCTTGGCAAGATTTTGCGGAAATGGCTTGCCCTTGCTTTCTTCCTAGGGATGAGAGAAAATGACTTGACCAAGACTACTCAACTGGTTTTGTGCATAGGGTTGGGCTAGAATTCACAGTCTCTTGGTTTGTAGGCCCAGTATCCTAACCATTACAGAATTTAACATTCTTTTTTATTCATTCTAAGCATATTTCAGTTTTCCTCCCAATTATATATATAGTTATATGAGGAAATGGGTCCCTGCGGATTTTATTCTGCTAGTCATGCCAACTATCGGGGGGCGATGCTCATCTCTTTTTCAAGACCATTGAGCCAGCACTGTCCAAAGACATTTCCATGGCCATATAACCATCATGATGTTACAGAGCACTGTTATCTTCCCACCAAAGTGCTACCTATTTTTCTACTTGCATTTGAATGCTTTCAAACTGATAGGTTGACAGGAGCTAGAGTGAGGACAGGAACTCACCCCACCATGTGCAGGTCATGTCTCAGGTCTTTCCAGCCAACAAGCCTATCATCTTAACCCTGAGCCATATAGCCATATACATAGCAGGCAACAATATTTTAATGTAGTTTAGGCTGCAAGGTGATGATTGGTCTGAAGCTGGGACGGTAAAATTGCTACCGTAGGAATGGGGACTCTCTGCCCTTCTAGTATGTATGGAGTCTCATCAGCCAAGGAGCTTCATTGATGGATTCCAGAAATAATTTTTGCCATGGCACTTGCCATCTGGAACATCATTCTCCTTGAATGATATTGGCCCCTGAATAGATGGGGTTTTCCCTCCTACTTAATTTATTGATAAGAATTTGGTCTAATCATGACTTCCAAAGTTAATATTAAGGACTGTTCATTACTAAATTAATAAATATTAGGCAATTGCTACATTACTAAATTATTCATAAATTCTAGGATGTTTTCTGAATTTAGATATTAAATTTTCAAGGGGCTGGTTAAAGATATTAAATTAAACATTTAAACAGCATTAAACATTCTGCAGTGTAGCATCAGTTCATAATATGTACTAAACAACAAAATAAGCATAAAATGGCTTCTGTATGCCTCATGCATTTTAATATGCCTTTTAATGTGAGCTATTTCCATTTATTGCAAAGACATCTGCTAATGAAGTTCTTATTAATCACTATTGTAAGAAGTATTTTGTTTCTATACATCTATTTTCCTGAGCAAGATTTACTCCCTTTTTGATATTTGTCTATGGAGATTCTCAGTCAGTTAGGTCATGGTTGTCCCAAAGGTGCTTTTTCAAGAGCAACTGAAATTTGGTTTTTTAATATTTGCTTTTGTTACAATTATACTGATTGAACAAGATCAGTTTACCATTGGTTGGAGAGAGGCAATTGCCCCATGCTGTGAGCCATGAGTGGAAATGAATGAGATATTCCTTCTGACCCCTCTCATCATTTTCTTTTCTTGGTATACAGAGCATTTTGTCCCACCCAAACTGTCTTGCTCAAAACCTTTGGGTAGTATGATCCATATATCTAAGGTTGAAGTAAGATTCACCTATCAGTCATATGCAGGGGGAGGCTTCAAAAATTTTAGCAAGGGGTTCTCTTGGGTGGACATGACTATGGTGGGCATGGCCTAGTCAGCCTCCTGTACCACAGTGGGGAGGAGGCGCTTTTGCCCTCTCTGGGCTCCAGAGTCTCCTTGAGCCTCCAGGAGGGCGAAAATGGTCTCCCAGACTCCGGAGGCTATCTGGAGGCCAGAAATGGGCCCAGCTCCCCAAACTTCTGGAGGCCAATTTTTCACCCTCCCCGAGCCTGCGTACATGCCCTGCACTTACCTGCATTCAAAATGGGCCTTCTGGGGACTCCTGGGAGGGGCCAGGTGGGATGGGAAGGGTCAGCCAGGAATGGAATTTGGGGGTTCTCCAAATGGCACAGAATCTTAGCTAGAGGTTCTCCCGTACTCCTGTGAACCCTCAGCAGCCCACCCTTGGTCATATGCAAGAACCTTTTCTGACAGTAGAAGATTCACGTAATATTCTTGGAGAGTAATGTTTTATTCCTTTATTTTACAGGCAGACTCAGGGGGACCATTGCTTTGTCCATGGAATGGAGATTGGGTTTTGGCTGGTGTAGTGAGCTGGGGAGATGTCTGTGCTGCCCCCAAACGCCCTGGTGTTTACATTCGAGTTAGCGCTCACACCAGTTGGATCTTGAGACATGCTCCAGAAGTAAAATCTAATTTCATTAATGCCCTAAACTTAACTACCCCTAGCAATGGATGTTCCTTGGTTGCTTTTGCTAATATAGCTATGCTTCTTTCATTAATTATCAATATTATATCTATTATTATATATTAACAAAACTTGGTAGAGTATGTCTGAATTTGCCTAGATTGCTTGCTGTAGTTTGTGGAGACTGACCTTTGTCAAATCTGTATGACTGCTTGAAGTGGAAAGGACTGAAACTTTGATTTTGGGTTTTACCAATTAGATTGATAGATTCTTATAGAAATGGCTAGTTTATATTATTATGAAAAAACAAAAAGTTGTGGTTTGATGTTAATGGCTTATTTTACTGCAACAGAGAGAGTCAGAAGTCAGCACTTCTTTTTCCTAACGCTTCCTCACTTTTCTCCTCCCCTTCCCCCTCATTGCTTTCCTATTTACTTTCCTATTTTGTATCTTATTGTGATCACATGGGGCAAGACATAGAAGCCACACAGTCAGCTGATAGTTCAAACTCCCCTTTATTGCTCCAACTTTTCCCCAAACATTTACAGCAAGTCCAGGAGCAAAACGCTCACACACACATCTCCAGCTGCCTCTGGCTGCAAGTAGTCCAGTGAAACACTGTTAGCACAATGGCTTCAAGGAAAGAAGTCCAATGAGGCAAAAGAACAAGGCATTGAGTCCACGAAGCAAAGGAACAAGGCAATGAGTCCACAAAGCAAAAGAACAAGGCAATGAGAAGGCAAGAAGTCCAACGAATTCCAGACGTTGACAACAGCACACAAAATTCCATGAATTCAGTGTTTGTTCCCAACAAGCACCCCTCCCCAAAGCATCGCCTTAAGTATCAGTTCCCAGGTGTGCCTTGTGAAGAGAGGTGGGGTGTTCTCATCCTGCGTCATTAGGTTGGCCTGCGCTATTCCTGCCTCCACACCATTCTCCATGCTCAGGGATCAGGAGGGGGTAAATTTATATCAACTTTTCATGAATGGAAGGCATATTGGAGTCCCACAGAGGCCTCACTAAACTAACCTGAATTTTCACAGAAAGCTAAATTGGTTCCCCAACCTTTCTGGGTTGGCCACCCAGTGGGGGGGGCGGGCTGGGGAAGATGGAATGGTTTTGTGTGATGGGCAGGTGCATGTGCACGTGCATAACTTCATTTGTGTGAGCAGCAGGTGTGCACACACACCGCCTGCACAAATGGAGCTGTAGTGGGTCGCAGCCTACAGATTGGCGACCCTGATCTACACTGTTTGGCTAGATGTGCTATGTTATAACTTGCATTTTAAAATAGACACAAAAATACATTTCTGTGAAATTCAGTGTGCAATGATTTGCTTATATAGTAATTACGAGCATATGAAACAGAGCTGTTTCCCTATTTTCTTAATAGTCCTTATAATACTGGGTTGTCATAGGAGTAACAACAGTCTAAAGGAATGAAGCAATAATGAACTATAAAGACAAGATAAAGAACTCTTCTTTGCTGAAAGTGCTTCAGTTGACAAAATAGCTACTACCAATATATTTGCCCAGCTTCCCCTCACAGAAGATCAGGGAACAGGAATGTAACTCTGCACTATTCAGTTTCGAAAGAAATCAACACTACCCTGGCAAGGACATACAAAAATTTCAACTACTTGTGGATTATGCTTTGTTCAAAAATGGCCAAAGTTTTTCTTTTAAACTTGATTTCTTATCCCCACTGGAATCTCTTCAATGAACATTTCTTTTAGGTGGTTTTAAAATGACAGTTTCTGTCTCTTCTCAAGAGCATTTCAGAAAATCAGATGTATTCTTCCATTTTTTCATTGAAGTGAATAAAAATATTGTCTCCTTCTGGACTGGATTACATGACAATTAAAAGAATGGTTTCTTTGTTTAATTTTAACTTTCATATAGTGTTTTATAATTGATATATAGTTGATGTATTAGTTATGTTCTTTTGTTTTTTATTCTTTATATTTTTTAGTTTTTTAATTTTTTTTCAAAAATGAAATAAAATTAAAAAGTTAAAATAAATTTATTCAAACAATATAAGTTGTTACTGGAATTGAACAATTATAAAGAATGTATTCATACTTACTGACATTTCATCCCAAGGTCTTCAAAATTCACGATGTCTTCTGTTTTCCAACAAAGTTAAAGAGAAAATTTCTGTCTGTATCTGACAAACATGCTCCTTTCTGCAGTTCCTTAGGGATTCCTCAACTTTATTTTCAGAAGTACTATAATTAATCTTGCTGCTTGCCCAAACCCAGACCACTTGAGTAGAGTGGCTACTGGTGCTAACATTCAGTAACTGAACAACAAACTATGAAAAGTAGTATATATCTTGTATAGCATTCAGAGGTTATAGGCAGGGGCTAGGAACAAATGTGGATCTGTTAGATCACTGATACTTTCAATTACTAAATGCCAGAGTCTATACTATGAGTACAGTGAATTTAAGCTTGTCTCTTGAATTTCAGCAACAACATAGAACTGTGATGGCAAACCTATGGCACGTCTGCCAGAAGTGGCATGCAGTGTCCTCTCTGATGGCACATGAGCTGTCGCCCCAGTTCAGCTCTGCCGCGCATGTGTGCACACCTGCCAGCCAGCTGGTCTTCAGATCTCTGTTACATATACATGAGGTGAATGTGGGGAGCCGCACACTCATTGCATTTTGGGGGTTGCGTGTACACATTCACATATGTACGCTTTGGACACTCAGTCTGGAGAAGGTTAGCCATCACTGACATAGAAAATTAGAAAACAATGATATTCTATTTTTTATACATATGGCCAAGGTATAGGCACAACAACAGATTTTCCTGTGCGCTGCTCCCACTATCCATGCATGGTTAATCCTTCAGTGCTTGGCAAACAACTGAGTGAAAACAAAAGGCTTTTGTTCCCCTTTCTGGCTCCCAAGCCACGCCTCTCGTCCCATGATGCCCCAGTCTTCACTCAGTTGCTGGCAAACACTGTAGTGATTTTTGGACCTCCACAGATCGTTAAGGTATTGTGCTTCTGTGGGGGTTCCTTTGGTTTTTTCTAAACTTCTTAAAATTATTATAATCCTACTGGCTTTCTCCTTTCTCTTTGTGCGCCTAGGACTTTGTTTTATTTTTGAATAGCTCCCTTTCACGCCTATCCAGCTAAGCTGAGGATCTTAATCAACGGGAGGGGGAGTGAAGCAGAGCGCTCACACGCTCGCTCGTCAGCCCCCCAGCCTAATCCAAGCCAGCTCGGTGCGAGCGCAGCCCTACTGGCATTTTGCCCCGCACCGGAGCGGCAGCGCGCTCATCAGCTGGCCGGCGGAGCCGGAAGCGCCGGCTCCCCACGTGGCAAGGAACCGAAGCCTGTCCCAAGGCTCAGCCTCGCGCAGCGGCTTCATCAGCTGGCTGGCGGAGCTACCGGGAGGATCGGCGCCTGCTCCAGCCAGCAAGGGGGCTCAGAAGCTCGCCCCACGCTCGGAATCCTCGCTCAGCGGCGGCGCGCTCATCAGCTGGCCAGCGGAGTCGGAGGCGCCGGCCACCCACGTGGTGAGGACCGGAGGCCTATTCCAAGCGGAGCCTTCAGGAGGGACACTGAAGCGAGGGCGCAGGGCGGGGCGAGTGTTGAAGAGAGAGGCGATCTCCCCCTGCGCTACAGAATAACCCCTCGTTAGGGGATTGCGCGGCGTCTGGTCGGACCCTTGGGCCGCCATTGTAAGCCCGCTGCCTAGTCTGCCCACGTGGAGCAGCCCCATATTGGTGGACCTTCGGGCCGCCATTTTGGGCCTTACGATTCAGCTTGCGCTTCCCTCCACAATCAGGGAGCCAGCTGCAGACCCGCACCCCCCCCTCTACTGCGGAAAGGGACATCAACCTCTAGCCTCCAACGCCTGAAGGGTTCCCGGGCAAGGTCGCTACCAACCGCCTCAACCATGTCTCGCACACCCCCATCGTCAGACATGGAGCTGGAACTAAGCCCACCACGTATAAGCGAAAAAAAGGGAAAAAGGAAGTCAAAAAAGAGGCACGTGAGCTCGGCCAGCAGGGCGGCGTCCGAAGGCTCCCTCCCCCTCCAAGATAGGGATGCCTTATGGAAACACAACGCCCTGGAGCGACAGTGGGAAAGGGCGCACAGGGTGGCTGCAGGTAACCCGCTCAGGGAGCTGACACCCGGGGAGCCCATCCCGATCTCCCCAAGAGAGGCGGATCAGGGCCTTACATCTGCGAACGACATCACTGCCACGCCTAGAACCCCGGAAGGGGTTGGGCCGCCTCGCGCAACATCCCGCATCGAGACACCTTCAGGTCCCGCACTGGAGGCCTTACTCGCTTCTACACCAAACCAGCATTGTCGGGCTAGAGAGGCAAGTGCCACACTGTCAAGGACAGACCCACAGGGTCCGGGTGGCCTGGGGTTGGGACCCCCAGTGGACTTCCAGGCCATGTTTTCAGCGGCCCTGTCATCTTTTTTCACAGCAACGATGCAGCAGGCCTCCCAGGGCCCCGCTCAAGTAGCTCCGGACCACCCACGGCCTTTCCAGCCCCAGCCCCACCCCAGGCCAGAACAAGGCCGAGACTCCTCATCAGACGAATCGGACCAAGCGGAGGAGGCCCCAGAGGAGATGGAGCTATCGGAGGATGAGGGCCTAGCACCGGACACACCGGCCTTTACGGGCCTCTTCCGCCCGGCCCTATTCAAATCGCTCCTCCACAAGGCACGGCTCACAACCAACCTGGGGGTGCCGGGAGATGTCACAACACCCGCCACGTCAGCGGCAGGTCCTCACGACGCCCTTTTCAAGTCATCAAAGCCGCAGAAAGACTACATTCCCTGCCCGCAGCTGTTTACAGACGTGATCCAGAACCCCTGGGTGCAGCCGGCCTCCCTGGCGACACCCAGCAACCTGGATAAGAAACTGTACTGTGCAGCCCCGGAGTTGGAGGACCTCCTGGTTCTTCCCTCAGTAGGCAGCTCTAGCCTCCAGCTCCTTGATATCCACCGACCCGCTAGACTCACTCAAGGCGGAGGAGAAGAGGATGGAATGGGCCTTCCGCAAATCACACCAGGCTGTCGGCTGGGCAATCAGAACCGCGACAGCCTCTTCCTTCTTCAATAGAGCTTCGCTTATCTGGCTTCGTCATCTGCAGGACAGACTCCCACCGGAAGACACCAGATTGCATCAAGATCTGAACAAAATAATAGCGGCCACCGAATACACGGCCAACAGTTCCCTGAATTCAGCCAAGTTCGCCTCAAGGGCGCTAGCCTCAACCCTCACCGCTAGGAGGCTATTCTGGCTTCGGCCATGGAAAGCCGACTTCAAAGCCAAGTGGAAGTTGGCAGCTTCCCCATATAAGGCACCAGACCTGTTCGGGGCCCCGCTGGAACCCCTACTAATTGAAGGGAAGGACAAGAGGAAGATCCTCCCATCGACCTACCGGCGCCAGGAATGCAGGTTCACGCCTTACCCGCTCCAACAGCCCTTTCGAGCAGGCGCCGGACCCAGGGGGTCTTCCTCACAGCGCTCCCACTACCAGGGAGGAGACAGATTCAATGACAGACAACAGTTCCGAGACCGAGGGCGACACCAGCAGCCTAAACGCAACTTCCGTGGTGCCGGCCCTAAGCCTGCCAGAAGGGGGAAATGACTCCAGGCACACGGGGCCCATAGGGGGTCGGCTCATCCTCTTCCATCGACAATGGGCCAAATCGACCTCGGACTCCTGGGTAAGGCATACGATCTCTTCCGGTCTGTCCATTGAATTCTCCGGCCAGCCACCCCAACGCTTTATCCGTTGCCCAACCCCTCGATCCTCGGAGTTTCAGGACTTAATGTCCCAGGAGATTGCCCACCTCCTGGAGGTCAGGGCCATAGAGCCGGTGCCGCACAGCCAGCGGGGCTCCGGTTTCTACTCAACCCTCTTCTTGGTTCCCAAGAGCTCCGGGGGCTGGAGGGGCATACTGAATCTAAAACGCCTAAACCTGTCGGTACTATACCGCAGGTTCAAGATGCACTCCCTCAAGTCCATTTTAGCGGGAGTGAGGCAAGGCGACTTCCTCCAATCAGTCGACCTCCGGGAGGCCTATCTGCACGTGCCAATTCATCCGC